GAAAAAATGGTCACCAATGTCACAAGTCAATCTAGGGGACAGGCAGGCCCAAGTGTTAGGCCCAGATGAAGAAGGGATATAAAGATGACAGATGTTGGCTTTGCACTCAAGACACCTGAAGTTTATCAGGAGTTATAGCTTGAAATTATATCTGATATCTACACAGTGCAAATCACATTCACATTCACAATAACCTCATCCAATCACCATGAGAGTCCCATGAGGTAGGGCATTATTATGATTGTTTTACGACAATCTTATAAACTATATAACTGAAACTCAGAAAGGTGATATGCACTGTTTTGGGTGGCACAGTGAAAGAGAATGACAGTCATTTAAATCTAGATTTTCTGATGGGGCTCTCCTGTTTTATTTCATCACCATGTCTACTCAATGGGATGAACGTATGTGCAACATGTTATGAAAGGCTTGGGTGACACAGAGGACTGTTTTAAAGGAAAGATCACTTGAATGGGACTGTGAAAGAAAGTTAAAGTTTTCAGGTGGTACAAAAGGCCCATTTCAAGCAAAGAGTTGATGAATAGCACAAAAAGATGAAAATGAATCAGGTACTACATTGAGGAGGGGCAAAGGAGGCCAGAAGGCAAGAGTGGGACAACACAGTGAAAGATTTCGGTGCCATTCTGTCTGCAGATGAGCAGTCCAAGAAAGCAGGAGCGTGTCAGGTTGGTGGCTGAACTGGAACATGAAGAAAAGGGTAGATTTCTTATTTTTGCTTTTGTTTTGGAGGAGGCCATCATGAAGGTGAGATAAGTGTGTGAGTAAGGATGGCAGAAATGAGAAATGGAAGGAGGTTTGTGTGAGTTAGAATCATTTATTGACTTGGGGAAGTAAATGGAAGGGGGAGAATAGAAAAAAAAATTTTATAAGCTTCTGGTGTATGTGTCTTCCTTAGCTAAATTGGGTAGTGTTGAAAATGTGGTTTGAGAAGTAAGTGGCAGGTATGAGACAAAACTTTTTTTTTTTTCTGGTACTTAATATAGAGCATTTGTCCATAGTCATGTTTGGCTTGAGGTGCCTATTTGTAGCATCCAGGTAGACATGTTTCGCAAGTAACTGTAAATATAGGTATAGCATTTGAAAACAAAATTGAAGCTAGAGATTTAGATTTTGGAATCACCCAACTACACATTATATTAAAATTTGTTTAGGCATTAGGGTATTCAGGGACCCAAGCACTTAAACCATATTCTGCTACTTTCTCTATTGGTAGGGAGCTGGATAGAAAGTAGAAGGGACAGGCAGGACTCGAACAGGCACCCATCTGGGATGCTGGCATCATAGGCAGCAGATAGCTTGCTATGCCACAGCACTGGCCCTGACAGTGATACACAAAGGTATATATGAGATTACTTCAAAAAGTTTACGGTAAATGGAATACAAAGGTAAGTTTATTTTGGTGTGAAAACATTTTGAAATCCATGTATAGTTTTGACGTAACATGCATTTCTAGGAACTTTTTAAAGTACCCTCCTATGTCTCAAAACATATCAAACTGGTAGTAAAACTTCAGTGAATTGCCTTGTAAAACATCCTAAATACTAAATAAACTGCTTACAGATTATCAATTATTTCAGAAAAGAAAGAGAAATTGTTCTTCCCCTATCAATTAGAAAGCAGTGGCTGGCAATATGGAGGCCACCATGATTTCAGCTGATTCAGAAGCCAATGCTGGATGCACCCTTTTCCTGGCTATTTTGGGAGTTCTCTATTCAAAGAGACTTGCTCCTTCCCAAAACCACCTCCACCCTCCTTGTATCCTTCCTCAGCCCACGCCTCCCAACCCTGTACCACGTGGGATGACTTCCTCATTTGGAGTAGCTCAGATACCTGAAGAATATACTATGACTCATTGCCGGACAAGAAGTCTTTCCTCATTGATTGATTTTAGGCTCCTGGCCAGTTTGGCCTCCTCATTTGGCACCATTCCTTCAGCATCACTTCTGAATTGTGCTCAGCTGAAAATCTACTTTGTACAAGAAGCCATTTTAATTTGATAGAAGAGCTGAAATCTGATACCTATAATCCACTCTAAGGATACAATTACCAACTTCTATATTTGTGTGGGAAGCTCAGTTTCTGTAATTCACTCTTTGTGACCTTGAGGAAAAGAGGGATAATGAAATCTACCTTTCAGGGCGGTGCAGATTAAGTCAGAAAGCACAGGTGAACATGCCAAGTATAGTACCAAGCAGCCGCTAATAAATGGCAGACTTCCTGTCAACCATGACAGCGCCTTCTGAATTATTTAGCCTATAAATTTCTTGAAAGCAAAAGGGTTCTTTCTTATGCGTTGTATTCACATCCTAATACAATGTCATATATCCTCAGGAGACACTGTGGAATGATGCTTAGGAAGCAGGTCAAGGATAAAGCTGGACAAGATTTATGGGACAAATATGTAAATGAAAAGAGGTCATTCCGGGGAGATGGAAAAAAAGAAATTCGATTCAGAGGCGGTGGCAAAGGTCTTTCCCTTATTTCCTCTTTCCATTCATTTAAAATTTTATCTTTCTGAACAGAGGGAAAAGAAAGTCTCATTCTGATGAATGCGGAGCAGCAGGACTATGTGCCAATACACCTGGTATTGATTCATGCCAGCTGGGAGAGGAGCTTGGCTTCTCAGTGTTTTACTACTGTGGTTTCCTGGGCTGGGCAGCTGGGTGCCTAATAATGATTAAAAAAAAATAATAATACTTCATAATACATACTGCCCTTTGCCAGAACTTGGATTTAACTACAATGATGATGATGGAACTGGCAATATCCAACTCCCCGCTGGGGTGCAATACCCAAGGGCCTGGAAATTCAAAGTGACATGGCAAGTATAACCTACTGCAAGGCCTTATCCTGGCAACTCACTCAGGATCTCCTGGAGGTGAAGCTCATCACCAGAAGTAAAGAGGAATTTTAAACGGCCCACATATTTTTGATCCCTTTATGAAGCAACAACTACAGCAAGTGGTGCAGAGCATCATGGAGCCCCCAAGGCGTGAAAGGGACCAAACCAGGTCATCTCATTCCTGACCCTATCCCCTGCCTCGAGGTATCAAGGCACATTTACACTCAGACTGGCTTTATACTCAGACCTTCCCGCTCTGTTTGGGCAGGAGGAGCTTGGGGGATAGCATGTTTCAGCTACCAGGGCACCCACCAATTCCCTCAACACTCATTCTGTAAACACCTATTCTGACTCATCGCCCTGGAGGGGCACTGTGTTGTATAAAAGATGACACCTGACCTTAAAGAGCTTATATCCAGCTGCAGGATCTGTATTCAGGCAGCTGTATAATACAAGAAAAGAAAGGTCTAGGAAAGTCCTCGCAGATGAACAAAGGTGATTATTGTGCTGGACCCCACCAACTCTCAATTCTATTACTTACTAATCTACTCACCATCTGCCTCACCCTTTCAGGATCCTTGTCAGTTTTGTTCACCCTGAGTTCGCGAGCACCTCAAAACAATGCCTGACACATTCGGCAAGTAACCAGCCTAAAGAATAAATGATGCAAGTGAGGCAGTGGCAGTAGACAAGGAGAACCATGAGCACTCAGCAAATACAGGTATCATCAATACAGCCCGGGTAGAAGGGTAGATATGAGAGCACTGGAGTGGCACTGGAGACTACTCCCAGGTCCCGGGGTGAGGTAAGTGAGTGCATGGATGGGGTATTGTCACAGAGGACCAAGCACACTGCTTCTCCAGGTTTGATGGGCTTCCAATTTGGGCATGTCATACTGGACTGCAAAGAGCGGATCTCCCACCAGCCTGTGCAGAGCTGGAACTCACTGCCCGTCTGCTCAGCTGTTAGAATGCTTAGATCACCTGCTTGTACAGGACTATGCACCTTCTGGGCAGAGGTCAGATACTGTGATTGTCTTACAGAGTGGAGGGAGAACTGGAGGAGAAAACCACCTAAGGGCACAGGGTGGCCAGGGAAAGCAGGGAGAGAAGTCTTCAAGGAGGCTGATAAAATTGGCCCTCCCACTGAGTCCTGTGGTACAGTGATTTAGCGAGAATAATGTAACCTCTACTTTAAATGAAGGATGAGGGTCTCAGAGGTGCTTCTGGGGTTACCTCCTTAAGGTTGCACGTGTTGGAACACCATCACGGGTAGGTTCAGCCCTGACGACGGGGCGACAGAAAGGGCAGTTCTAAAGGCATCCGCCACTAAGCTTCCCTACGCCATTTCTCAGGCCAGGGCCCTTCCATGCAGAGTGCAGCCAAAAAGAGGGAGATAGAATATCCTTCCCACTGATTTCTGAGTCATGTCTGAAGCGGAGGGAAGTTAGAAGGGACTTGAATTAGATGAGGTGCCAGAATTCCCGTGGATCTTGGAATGGAGAGACTGGATGGTTCCATGCTAGAGGGAGCTAGGAAGACTCATTCACATTTTCCTACCCGACACTCACGCACTCCATTCAGCATTTTGCTCTCCTTCTCCTTGATACTCTGGGAATCAGGGACGAAAATTTCTTTCTCCCACCTCACACTAACCTTCCACCGCTGGCCCTTCTCCTAACACGTGACCCTTCTCAGCCCCGTGACTCGTCGCCACCGACCCCTCCCCTTAGGCTGCAGCCCGCTTTGCCCCGCCCCTGGGCCACGTGACCGCCTCTCTCCCACCTGACTGGCTCCTCCCTTTCACCGGACCGTACCCGGTCTCCGTCGCAGCTGCCCGACTCCAAAATGGCAGCCGCGCACCGCGAGCACCCGAACGGCCGGACCTGCCTGACTCCCGGGCCGTCTCAATCTCGCTCCCTGCCTCCCTCCTTCGGCCTTCACCTACCCGCCTCCGGATTGGCCGCCGGAAATCCCGCCCCTCCAAGGCCCCGCCTGCTATTGGTCACGGTAGGCTGTCCTTCAGAGAGGCGTGCCCCCGCCCGCCCCCCGCCCCGGGAGGTATTTTCCATTCCGGTGGGGGTTGGGGGGAGGGGGGAGGGGAAGAGGGTGAAGAAGGGGGAGGCGGCCGGGAAGGGGGTGGGGGCCTGGCGGGGGCATCCGGCGAAGCTGGGGTCCCCGGGCTCCGTCCGGAGGAAGCGAGGCTGGGCCGCCAGAGGGGACGGGACGCGCTGGCGGGCGGACTCGCCCTGTCGGTGGTGACTGCGCCGTCCCGGGCCCGTCCTGCCTGGCCGCAGGTGCCCTGGATGAGGCCGCCCCGCGCGCCGCGACCGGTGAGTATCCCCGCAGTCGCGCCCGGCTGGCCGCCCGTAGCGGCGCCTCTCAGTCCCCGCGTGCCCGCGCCCGGCACAGTCCGCCTTCGGTCAGCGCTGCCTCGGCAGTCCGGGCGGGCGGCAGCCCCAGCCCTCGGGCCGGGATGGGCTGACCGGGGGAGAGGACGGCGAGCCCGGGCCGAGCGCCCGTGCAGCCCACGCCGCGCGTAGTGAGAGCTTGCATTCAGCCGACTGTCGGTGCATTTCCGTGGAACTGCTTGTCTGGTTGACGAAACCTAGGGCACCTGAGGGGAAGAGGGGGTCGTCTCAGGCTATGCGGAGGGCGTTCGATATCCTGGTCGCGGGGAGGCGACTGGACACAAGCAGCAGCAATAAAGGGGTGACGGACCGGCCAAATCACTTGGGCTTGTAAGTCCCCGATGGGGGAAGGGGGTCAAGGTCGCCGAGAAAAATTCTTGGGGGGTAGGGGAAATAAGGAAGGGAACCGGAAAGCATGGATGGGGAAGCGACTTGTTCACCTTGGGGACCTTAACCGGAGCTAGTTAGGGATGTGGGGGCGGTCGCTGAGAGGAGCCCTCTGCAACTCCCGGGGCTCCTAAGATTATTTGGCCCCGGGGTTTCCGCTGTCCCAGTGGTTGGAGAGGAGAGGCAGTTCCAGGTAAAGAGGGATGCTCTTCTTGGTTCTAAACTTTAGCTTGGGGATGGTTGGGCGTCCAGAGGAGGAGGTTTTGACGTTTGTCTATGTTATTTAAGCCAAAAAAAAAAAAAAAAGTAGCTTGCTAATGGACTCCATCAGTGGTCCTTCTCTTCAACATGCATATGTATGTTCGATGGTGTTTTTTTTTTTAAATCAGTTATCGATTATGCTGGGAACCCTCGTGAGTACATTCTGAGATTCTTGTAGCAGCCTCTTCATCTATAGTGATGTCCCAACTTGTTCCCGTTGAACGTTTAGACTGGACTGGGCGATTGTAATTTATTACTGATTTGTTCTAGAAGATGAAGAAGTAATTCACATGCTTTCTTTTCCTTTTGCCTCTTTACAAGGTCATGCAAGATTGAACTGTAATACTATAGAAGCTTTCACATCTTTTAACTTTAGGGCACTGAATGGGGAAGGAGATGTTGGTAAGCTGAGCTCTAGGAAGCCACACTGAAATCAGGTTTAGTTTTCTGATAGTTTGGGATCTGGACGTTGGGTGCAGTCACGTATTTACATAACACTCTTGAGGATGGATCAGGCACCTAGAAAAGCACCTGTTTGCCAGTGGTCTGGTCTTAGGAGGACCCCAGGGTCTGCCTCTGTGGCTGTGGGTGGGGGTCTTGATCTCATTCCACTCTGAAACGTAAGCTAAGGATTACACAGCTAGATCTTTTATCTTGTTAGCATTTTCTTGGTCGTGTATGGTACTAATCTCTCAAATTTGTTGAGTAATTTACAAAACAAAAAGTCTGTTTGATTGGAGAGTACTTGAAGATATTTTAGAAGAATGTGTAGATCATATCCTGCCCTTCAGTGCATTAATCAGAGAAAACATTGCAGAAGGTTGTTAATATTTTCAGTTGGCGCCTTCTCAGTTCTTGAACAGCTAACTAATTGCGAGTTGGTGGGGTTTTTGTTTGTTTTTTGTTTTTTCCTTCCCCTCCTTCCTATTGTCCTTGAATTTTACTATTTGTCCTTAAGGGAGAATGTACTGGCATACAAAACAGCCGCCTAAAATATTGAAACCTAACACCTTTTAACATTATAATAGCTTCTACATAAATCACCTTGATAATCATCCCAGCCAACCAGTGGCCAGGAATGCTTTCCTCTCCCATGCTGCGAGAGGGCTGTTTTCTCTTGTAGAAGTGAGAGAAAATAGAGCTTGCTGGCTGCGAAGTGGTGGTGATAACCAAGCAGCAGCGAGTGGTGTGTGGGAATCACATTTCCTTTGGCGCTGGAAGAGTACCTCATACAGGAGCCTAGGGTCCACAGGAGCCTAGGGTCCGCAGCAGCTGGAGGAACTGAATGGCTGCTTACTGGGGGAGCCAGCATTGACAGGCAGGTCTCTGGACTCAAGTCCAAATTGTTTTCTGCTCTGTGATATTCACATTGTTTATTTCTGCCAAACTGTACATGATTTTCAGATCATTTGTGATACCGGTCCCTTCTAAGGATCAAGAGCTTCGAGTTAACAATTTTTAGGCATAAAATGATGTAAAACTGGGTGGATTTAAAACTTCAAAAGGATGTGCTGCCATATTCGTGGGAGTGCTAATTCCCTCACATTGGAATAAGACAGACAGCTAAAATGTTGGACCAGTCTTAGGGTTGGTCTGTATTCTTTAATTTTTATGTTAAAATTAATTGTTTTGGGCCCGGCGCGGTGGCGCAGTGGTTAAGGTCCTCGCCTTGCACGCCCGGGATCCCATATCGGCGCCGGTTCTAATCCCGGCGGCCCCGCTTCCCATCCAGCTCCCTGCTTGTGGCCTGGGAAAGCAGACAGGACAGCCCAAAGCTTTGGGATGCTGCACCCGCGTGGGAGACCGGGAAGAGGCTCCTGCCTTCGGATCGGCATAGCATCGACTGTTGTGCTCACTTGGGGAGTGAATCATCAGACGGAAGATCTTCCTCTCTGTCTCTCCTCTCTGTATATCCGCCTTTCCAATAAAAATAAAAAATAAATCTTTAAAAAAAAATAAAATTAATTGTTTTAAGGATCTTCAGAATTCAAAAGGCCCTTCTTTCCAACTGAATTGTAAAGAATTATTTCCAGTTAAGTATGAGGGTTTTGTTAAATTGAGTTTTAGTATGCTTAGGCAGTAATAGAATTACATAATAATTATGAAAATAATTTTTGTGAAGTTATAGCAAAGAAAGACAATGTTTTTATCTCAGTCACTTAATATGGACTCAGCCAAGGGCTTTAGCCCCCAAGTCTCTTGAGTTTCCTCATCTGATAAGTGAGGAGCTTATTACCATGGTGATGAAGACCAGCTACCCAGCACCTGTAGGGGCGTGGTGGACATTGCACATTATTCTCTGTGTTGGTGTGAGCAGGTACCGCTGTGGGCTTCCTTGTTGAATGCATTCACCGTAAGGGAACAACACAGTCTTCCAGCAGTCTGCCTTTGGGGACAGTCATTGCAAATGCGCTCTTGGGCTTCGTTGGTGTTTTGCTTGCACTGGACCATCATCGGGGCTGCACATCATGTTAGCAGACCGGGTCTGCTGTTCTGCACGCTGTGGCAAATTCAGATATCCATATCAAAGTGTGCTTCTTTGGGGTATTTTGCGATGGCTATTCAGAGGGACTTCAGACATAGGAATAGCTTTGAAAAGCCATCCTTGTCCAGGGGAAATTTTCCTCTCTAAAGGAAATCTGTGCTTGTGAAGTAAACAGCAGATGTACACAGGCTTTGCCTGAGGTCCCTTATCTGCTTGTATAGCACCCATGCACTTTCAAATAAGAAGTGTATATGTCTTTTCTCTTGCTAATCTGTTTTCAGTTTATTTTATAGACTTGGATATTGACTTGAACTCAAGGAGGGAACCTTTCACTTCTGCAGTGTCACTGGGAGACCCTTGTTGCAGTTTCATTATTCTAGAGCCAAGTGAATAATTGATTTGAAGAAGTTATACATGGAAAAAAAGAGCTAATTGATATGCAGATATTCTAGTGAAAATACAGTAAGTTCTAGAGATCTACAAGGTAATCTTTTTTTAAAGTTTCTAATTAAAAGATTTTTTTTCTTGTTTTATGCCACTTTTTTTTTTTTAAGATTTATTTATTTATTGGAAAGTCAGACATACAGAGAGGAGGAGAGACAGAGAGGAAGATCTTCCGTACGATGATTCACTCCCCAAGTGAGTGCAACGGCTGATGCTATGCTGATCTGAAGCCTGGAGCCAGGAACTTTCTTCCAGGTCTTCCACACGGGTGCAGGGTCCCAAGGCTTTGGGCCGTCCTCAACTGCTTTCCCAGGCCACAAGCAGGGAGCTGGATGGGAAGTGGAGCTGCCGGGATTAGAACCGGCGCCCATATGGGATCCTGGGTGCGTTCAAGGCAAGGACTTTAGCTGCTAGGCCACGCCGCCGGGCCCTTATGCCACATTTTGATAGGCATTGGCTCTCCCTTCCCCTCCCCATGTTTCATTCCCTCCCCATTGTTCTCCCCTCCAGTTCGACAATAAGTCAAGATAATCTTAAACGAGGAAGTCAGTAATTTAGAAGGTCTGTTTTTGGTTACAGCTCTTCCACCAATGGAACTAAGAGAAAAATCTTTGAACTTTAATTTTTTTATTATATCCATATGTATTTGCTTTTAAGGTCCATTCATTTTCATTGGAAAAGTAGACACAGAGAAAAGGAGACAGAGAAGGATATTCCATCCATTAGTTGACTCTCCAAGTGGCCACAACCCTGGAGCTGAACCATTCTGAAGCCAGGAGCCAGTAAGATTCTTGATCTCCTATACGGGTGCAGGGTCTCAAGGCTTTGGGCCACCCTCTACTGCTTTCCCAGGCTGTATGCAGGGAGCTGGATGAGAAGTGGAACAACTGGGACACAAACTGGTGCCCACATGGGATTCTGGGCATGCAAGACCAAGGCGAGGACTCAGCCACTAGGACATTGCACCAGGCCCTACATCTGTATGTTGATAACTTCACTAAACTGTTAAGTTTTAGTGATAAAATTCATATAATTAAAATTTTCGAACATTCAATTGTTTGTTTTTTAAAAGACCCATCTATTTTTTCTTGAACGTTAGAGTTACAGAAAGAGAGGGAGATACGAAGAGAGAGGTCCTCCCTCTGCTGGTTCACTGCCCGAATGGTGACAGTGACCAGAGCTGAGCCAAAGCCGGAAGCCCCCTCCAGATCTCCCACAGGGCCACAGGGGCATAAGGCCTCAGGCCATCCTCCACTGCCCTTTCAGGCCTCCAACCAGGAGCTAGATCAGAAGTGGAGCACCTGGGACTTGAACCAATGCCCATATGGAACACCAGCACTGTGGA